GGAGAGCACCAGGTGAGCTCCACTTAAACACCCCATCTCCTGCTGGAATAACTCTGGGGTGGGACCAGAGCCTGTGCAAGGCCAAGATGTGACTCAGCTCCTCGCAATTCTCCCTCTGAACACCAAAGACCCCGAGCCAGCTCCTGGGGGAGTGAGAGCACACCAAGCACTGTTGTTGCTGTTGAAATGAGCTGCAAAAACAAGAAAGTGATACATCAAGTCTCAGCTAACACCTTACTCCGGGGTAAATTACAACCCAGAGCGGGTCTCCCCGAGTGTAGCCAGCTCCTTTAGCAGCCTTTTATCCAAAGGGTTGCTTTTATACTTTTCAAAGAGATATTATCCCAGATTAAAAGCACTAAAAAGACAGACGACAATAACAACAACAACAAGAAAAAGCAGGTGATGATTAAGCAACAGGCTCAGACAAAGTGTGCAGCTGGGAGATAACAGAGCATCTCAGGGGCACGTGGCTGCATCCCTCCAACAGCCCAGGAGCCACCTTATCACTCTGAAACACAACCTGCACACTGCCTCTGTAATCACACCCCTGCAACAAGCATAAATAAAAGCAGCCTCCAAAAAAGTCTTTGTGAAGTATAATGTGCAGCTCAAGGGAGGAGGGGGGTCAGACTACAACTCCCCAAGCTTTCTCCTTTAAGGAGGGATATTTTTTTTTCCCCTGTTACAACACACTGGCATCTTTTATCTATTTCCAGCTCAGACATAAAGCAGCAGAATGCCTGTGTTCATTAACTGTAATCTCTCACTGCACACTTTTATGTCGTGCAGTGATGTTGGACGCACCACACTACAGCAAAGCTGAGAGCAAGGAGTGCCTAATGAGTCCTCAGGATTGCACTTTGTTCCAGCCTGAAAACCACACACCAGGTTTTGCCTGTGGCTGTGGTGCTGGGCAGGGTTTACCTGAAGGGCTCAGAGCAACCAGGTGGTGGCTCTTACTCTACCCATGGGGTTGATTTTAAAACCTGAAGTTGACTTGGAAATCCCAGGAGCCTTTTAGTATTTGCTGCTTTGTTGTTGAGTTGCCTAGACAGGTTGTGGCTCCTCCTGACAAAGCCTACACAAATCCCCCCAGCCAAAGATCTTCCTGAGCCTTGAGCACCTTCTCCAGAAGTCCAGCCCAGCTCCTGGGGTTCAGCCCTGCTCTCTGCAGGTCAACCTTCCCTCAGGTGCACAGAGGTTACTCTCAAAGGCTTTTCCCACCAGCCATGCCCCCATGGGAAGTGTCCCTCCAACCCACACAGCTGCTCCCAAAGAGGCTGAAGCAATTCCTCCTCCTGTTCCATCACAGCCTCCAAAGTCACACCCACACAGCCCCATCCTCTGCTCAACACCAGCCCTTGATCCTCCAGGATTCATCTCTAAATCTTAGGGCTCATGAGGAACTACTTTCCTGTAATTATTTTCCTGTAGAAGCCAAATCTATTTATTACAACGACTTTGTTTGCAATATCCAAAGCATCAGCTATACCATGTTGCTGCTGCTGCTCACAATTATTGCCTCCCATTAGTGGAAACTCTATGACAATGTTATTGCCATTAATAATTCTTTGCTGTCATTGAAGCTCCTTGACAATGCTGAGAGTGAACACAGGAGACCCAGAGCCACTTTCTGGTTTGTATCATCTCTTTTACAGGAGAAAAGCAGATTATTACACGCTTGGGAGGAGCTCTTCATAAACATCTGCCAAGTTACCTCATTATCTTCCTTCAAATCCCTCCTAAAAAATCTCATTTGTCATGATGCCTGCAAAGATTCACCAGCAGAGCACTGACATTATTAACTAACCCCACCAGCTAAAAAACATCACCTTGCTCCCCACACCCTCTCTCCTTGCATTCCACCCCAATGTTTTTGAGGACAGAACCACCTTGGTGTTGTACAACCTTCAGCACAGCCCTGGCCCATCCTGAGGGACCATGGAAGCCCCTGATCCTGAGGCAATCTCTTGGTGGGATGCAGCAGGCAAACTGCCAGGTGTGCAAGGAGGTTTGGGATTTTCCCTCTCCTGCCCATCAGTTTGGGTCACTGCCCCTCCCTCGCTATGGGGGCACCCCAAACACAACCCTGGAGGTGTCCCAGGCCAGGCTGGACGGGGCTTGGAGCAACCTGTGCTGGTGCAAGGTGACCCTGCCCGTGGCAGGGGGTGGGCTGAGATGAGCTTTAAGGTCCCTTCCAACCCAAACCCTTCTGGGATTCTGTGAAATCCCAGAGCTGGAAGTGCTTGGACACACCACAGGCTTTGGCCACTCGTTTGGCTGCCCTGGAACACCCCAGCACCATCCAGCCCCACCACTGGGCCCCACCAGCACTGTCCCAGCCCCCTCAGCACCCCCAGGGAGGTGGTACCCTGCAAGCTCAGCAGCAGATGAAGATTTGTCATCCTGCAGCTCCAGCCTGGGGGGAGCTGCTTCCTGAAAGGATTTATTTGTTTGTCCTGTGCCTTTCAGCAGCATCTCCAGAGCTCTGGCCTCACCATCACCCTGGGTGCTCACACTGAGGGACTGGAAGAGGCTGTTTAGAAACACATTTCTCTGTGCACAGCCACGGGGGGAGGAGCTCAGCAATTACTCCAGTGGGTTCTCTTTTAAAAGAGCTTTCTTCTCTTCCCCCATTGACAGGGTAAAATTTGGAGAAGGAGCAGCTCATTTTGCTCTTTCAAACCCTGTAAGTACTGGGTAATGTCAGATACTCCAGTGACAGATCACCTGCACTTCCCCTTCACTCTCCAAATAGTTCCAGCTCTGAAATCCCACAGCTTTCACTGGTGGACACCATCCAAGCTTTGCACTGGAGCTGCTGTGATTTCCACCAGCTGAGGAGCTGCCCTCCTGTTTCTTTTACTGGTAATTATAATTCATCAGCTCTCTGTGGTGCTCATTACTCTGGGATTTGAGTGCCTATTTTTCCAGGCTTGAATAGGTTGTTCTGTACCATCTCCTCTCACACAGTGTCCCAGAATCCTCTGGAAATGAGCTCTCCACATCCTGCACCCTCCCTGCTCCTCCCTCTGATCACAGCATCATGTTTATTCCTTTTTAATAATATTAAAAGCATGCAGCATGACTGATGAGGGCACTTAGCAAAAATCTTCTTCCTGAAGATTTTAAGTATCCTGATGTCCTGAAGCCACCATCCAACTGTACATTGGAAGGAAAAAATGTCTTGGAGGAATGTGAGTCTGAAGGTGCTTCCAGAGGAAAACACCTCCTGCAGTTCTGAGGCACCAAAAGCAGAAGGGAAGGGAGGGCAACAGTGGCCAAGAGCAGGTTGAACCAACGTGTGTGAGGTGGGAAACCAAACATCCCCCTCCAGGCTTTGTCAGGGCCTGACTTGGGCAGGTTGGGTGGGTTTTGTTTCCTCCTCTTCCTCTTCACTTCTCCTTCCCACACCACAACCAAAACATAAGGAAGGAGGGTCTCTGCAGGGTCCCACCATTTCCAGACCCTGGGATGTTATTTTACAACAGGGAAACTGAGACACAGAGAAAACATCTGTTAACACCACTGTGAGGGGCCAAAGCCCAACAGCTCATGGCTCCAGGCTGCTGGCCTTCAACTCCACGGGAAATTCAATTTACAGGAGCATCTCTGCACCAAGCAAAGTGTTATTATCAGTAACAAGGATCCCCTCAACCCAGAGCTCCTGGATGCTGCTGACCAGAAAGGTCAGAGGGATCTCTGGGTTCCTTTCTAGGTTTCAGCTGTGCTTTCAAACAATGACTACCTCAGATTTTAAGCACAGGGTGTGGCGTGTTCTCCACACCAGTTTTCTCCAGCTTCTCCAGCAGGAAGAACAGGATCACACCATGCTGGAATGTGCTGAGCTGGGAGGGAGTCCCAAGGATCCTGCAGTCCAACCCTCAGCCCTGCACAGCCCCAGCCCCAAGAGTCCCCCCCTGTGCCCCAGAGGATCATCCAAACCCTCCTGCAGCTCTGGCAGCCTTGGGGCTGTGCCCACTGCCCTGGGGAGCCTGTTCAGTGCCAACCACCCTCTGGGACAAGAACGACTCCCTCCATGAGATTTTAAGAAATTAAACACCCTCCTGGTGTTTTGGGGCGTGGGAGGTGCTGCTCACCTTCATCACTGTTGTCATCCACGAGGATGATCTCCTTGAGGAGGTGAGCCGGGGTGTGGTTCACCGCGCTGTGCACGGAGCGCAGGATCACCGACAGCGCCTCGTTCACGAAGATGAAAATGATGGAGATCTGGGGCAGGTCCTTACCATATTTCAGCTCTTTGCACCTGGAACACAGAGGGCAGAGGGAGACACAGAGGGTTTAGCAGAACTTGGAGTTGGGCGCGTTTCGTGTGTGGTGAGGGACAATGGCTTCCATCTCCCAGCTGTGCACAGCCAGGGGTTCCAGCTGTGCACAGCCAGGGGATCCAGTTGTGCTCATAGTTGTGTTCCAGCTGCCTGGAATTCCTTTCCTTTCATCAATGCTATCTGGGAAGACACAGCAACGAAGAGCATCCACCAGGATGAAGGAGCACCCAGGGCAGGGTGCAGATGCAGAGTTCACCTAACTGAGGTTGTGTTTGTGTGTCTGTGCTCACAGGACTGTGGAAATGTAACAAGGAGTGGCCTCCATAAGACAGAAAATGTCTTCAGCAGTTGGAGTGGAACTCCACATTCCAGCTCTGTCCCAAGATTAATTGGTGCTCAGAAACGAGCCTTGTTCTTAAATGGCACTTATGAATTTTCTCCCCATTTGCTTTGGGAAGAAATGAATATAAAATGACCCTTGGTTAAATAGTCTTAATAAATGTTTCAGCTCCTGAGCAGATACTTCTGAAGCACATCACCACGAACTGGTGTCTTTGTACTTCATAGGCAGGATGGTTAAAACTAAACACTTGTGATCACCTCCCTGGGTTTCAGGAGGAGTTGCTTGACTTGGGCAGATTTGGTGGTCAGGGCTCTGCTCAGACACATTTCTGTGCATCAGAGGAACCTGCTCAGATACATTTCTGTGCATCTTTCTCCTGGTCACCCACCATCCAGCTCCATCCCCCACGGTTCATGGACACACCAGACCTTGAGCAAGGGACACCCCTGGAGCAGAACTTGGGCAGCTCCAGGTACCCCCAGCTCTCCAGGAAACACACACCACTCCCACGAGGTAAAGATGTTTCAATGCCACACTTCATCCTAATCAGAGACCTCACCCTTCTGTTTGCACAAAGCAAACACAAGATCTTTGACAGCTTCCAACAATTTAATTAAATTCTCCAGCTTTCCCTACAATGAATAAGTGTGAGGGAAGAAGGGAAGGAGCCTCCCTGCTCCCTCCCTGCATCCATGACAGATTAGACATGCAACATGAGCAGAGTTCCCAGAATTACAATGAGTAAATCCTGCTCAGATAAGCAAAGAAAGACCAAATGCACCAGTGACATCCCATTCAAGCTCCTTGACTCCCCAGCAATACCTCTGGATTTAATTGTGCTGGGTGTTTCTTAGGCAACAGCAGGAATTCTTGAGGCTCCAAAATGAGACTTGGGAGAACAAAGATTTGCACAGAAACACAGTTCTTTATGAGTCTTCTTTGGTTAAACAAGTTTGCTGGTTGGAAAGAAGGTTGTATTTCTTGATTTAACTGTTGCCTGTCCCAAGGCAAGCCAAGAGCTCCACAGAATGGAATGTGCCACACACTGAAAGGAGCTGCCAAAGGGAAGATCTTTAAAATGAATCAACGGCCCTGAGGGGGCAAAGTAACAACTGACCCTGAAATCCTGCCATGGAAGTCAAACCGAGCTGACTCTGAGATTAAAAACCTCCTTTTGGTGTACGTTGGTACCTGCAGTGCTGAGGAGAAGGTTGTCACAGGAGCAGGAGTGTTTCCTTTTCATCATTGCTCACCTCTGGGCAGCCCTTCCCCCGAGGCAGCTCCGGGGGATAGAGAGCTCAGCTTGTGATCAAAGAGGTTTGGAGGAAAATCCAAACCGAGCTCTTTGAGCTTCATCTGCTGCTCATTCCCATTCCCCCTGCACCCTGCTGTTATCAGGGTTCTCCTTCCCCCCTTGCTGAGGACAGAGATCCAGGGAGAGGAGATGAGCCTGGGAAGGAGTGGGCAAGGCAAACATCACATTGTTGGGGGCACAAAGCTGCAGTTCTCCCCAGGCAGAAGGGGTGACTTTGCCTCTGATCACAGGAGTGGGTAAGACAGCAATTAACAGCCAAATTGACATCAGCTTTGTCAGTCTTCTGGTGCCAGAAGCAGCGGGTGGACAATGCTCTGCAGCATCCTGCTCCACAGCTCCTGCTGTGGACAAGCCCCAAATATTCCTGCACTCAGGAAAACACCCAGGGCTTCTGGACACTCCTGGGGCCAGAGAGGGGAAAGGGGGAAAGGAATAATTTGAGCTCAAACATAATTAGAAGGGCCAGGGGGAAGTTGTTACAAACAGCAGCAATGGTGGGTACCTGGGATGGGAAGTTCAGGCTGTTTGGTGGTTTGGGTTTTTTCTTCTAAGCATTTTTTAGTAGATGAAGGGTTGATCTGGACTCTGGTCCAGAACTACAAGGCTATGTTTCACCCTTAACTTCATAGCAGTTAAGGCAGAGGCCCAGGTTTGAGTGTTTTACTCCTGGAACCCCCCGAGCTGGGGGTTCAGGAGGATTTCCTGCAGGTCAGCGGGTCCCAGCACAGGAGAGGCTGCTGGGCTGCCCCTCACACCTCCCTCCTCCCCTGCACCCTCCTGCACCCCAAAGCACAGCACCTTCCCCACCCTGAGGGGCTGCATTTCATGCATAAGGTGGGAAATTGCTGCTGCCTTCAGTGCTTCAAGCACAGCCCTGAGGGACAGCTCAGAAAATCCCGGCAGGAGCAGGGACAAGGAATGCACAGCTTATCAGACCTCACCTCTGCCCACATTTATTCCCCTCAGGAGAGAGAGCCTTTGGCTCTCTGCCTTCAAAATTCAGATCTCGGGCCAGAACACTTCCAAATTCAGGATTCAAGTCTCTCCAATTATCCAACTGCTCAGCCTGGAGAAAAGAAGGCTCTGGAAAGACCTCAGAGCCCCTTCCAGGGCCTAAAGGGTCTCCAAGAGAGCTGGAGAAGGACTTTTTGCAAGGGACAGGACAAGAGGGAATGGTTTTAAGCTGAAAGAGGGTCATATCAGGAAGAAATTGTTGCCTGTTCAGGTGGGCAGGCCCTGGCACAGGTTGGGCAGAGAAGCTGTGGCTGCCCCTGGATCCCTGGAAGTGTCCAAGGCCAGGCTGGAGCAACCTGGGCTGGTGGAAGGTGTCCCTGCCCATGGCAGGGGGTGGGACTGGATGAGCTTTAAGGTCTCTTCCAATCCAAACCATTGGAGGACTCTGTGACTCTCAGTTTTTATTTCTAACACTCAGCTCTCCCTGTATCTGCTCTGCCCAACCTGAGTCCAGTGAGTGGGATGTTCGAGGGAACACTTCAGACATATGAATACTTCTAAATTTAAATTAAATGTAACAGAGAGGGCACCACAATACACCCCTGTCAGTGCCAGGGATTGGTTACCCATAGGGTTAAAGAGAGCAGCACCTCATTTTATATTTAATTTAACCCACATTCATCATCCCACCAGGACCAAAAGGCTGTCTGGGAAGTTTTCCCTCCCCATGCATCAGGTGCTCCCCAGCCAAGGGCACATCTGCAGGTGGACCCAAGGCAGAAGTCCTGCCACACTTTTTTCCCCACCACATCCCGCTGTCTCCAGTTAAACACAGGCTGGCACCTGCTGGCAGGGCTCACATCGAAATACCGTGAATCAATAGCCAAAAGAAAGACACACCTTAGAGGTTTGTCTCTCCTGTAGATCAATGGGATATCAGAGTGAGAGGCGTTTTATGTCCCATTAAATCATGCTCGAATACATCCCATTAAATCAAGCTCACAAAACTCTCCAAGTTTTAAGAGGCTTGAGAAAACCTCCCAGTGCACTGGGTTTAATTTAAGGACCTTGCTGAGCTCTCACTGAGAGTGTTCTTGGCCTTAAACAGGGGGGAAACTTAAACTCTGGCCTTGGTCTAAGGCTCAGGCCTGGAGCTGTGTCAGGGCAGGCTCAGGGTGGATCTCAGCCAAAGGTTCTTCCCCCAGAGGGTGGTTGGCACTGAACAGGCTCCCCAGGGCAGTGGGCACAGCCCCAAGGCTGCCAGAGCTGCAGGAGGGTTGGGATGATCCTCTCAGGGTCAGGGTGGGATTGTTGGGGTGTCCTGGGCAGGGCTGAAGGGTTGGACTGGATGGTCCTTGTGCATCCCTTTCAGCTCAAGATATTCCAGGACATCTTTTTTCATTTCAGGAACAGACACCAGGCCCAGCAGAACCCCCTGCCCTGAACACCCATGGACAACTCCCAGTTCTCCCCAGCCACCCCACAGGGATCCAGACACGTGCTGAGGCCACAGAACTCCTGGTCTGTGGCCTCCACCACCTTTTTTGGGTCCAAGACCTTTATCCTCTGTGAAGCCCAGGCTTGCAATCACGAGAACATGCAAGGAAACCCCCGAAATAAATACATTTATGGAGAACGTTTTTTCTTCTCCATCCCTGCAGTCCCTGGTTTATGTAAGAAGCCATTCAGAACCAAATGAAGGATGAGAAGGGGAGATGGGGGAGGGAGAGCAGGGCTGAGTTTACGCTGAACAGCTTGGCACACATCAGGCTGGATTAATCAAAGCAGCCAATTTCAAAACACAAAAACCCCATAAAAATCAAGCTTTGCTCCAACGCAGGAGCCTGCCCTGGAATCCTCTGCCTGTTTGTTTTATGCTCAGCACACAGCTGTAAATCCACTCTTCAGTGCAGCAAGTGAGATTAGGATGTTTATTGTCTGTCTCAGTAAGAGGAAAGGGATATCCCAGCATTTACTGCTCCGTGAGCCCTCGGCAGAAAAATCACCTGGAATCACAGCGAGCACTCCCAGAGCACTGAGAGGCCACAGAGGGGCAAGAAATCTTTGGAAACCACTTCTTCCTGCCCAGTGATTGAACGTGATCCACTCCCTTACTCAATTAATTCCTTTCACCTCCTCTCTGGGGTGCAAAGCCACTTCCATCAACCACCTGGAATGACACTGCCCAGCACCAGGGAACTGGGAGCCCAACTCTGATGGATTCTGCACATTCCCCACCCCAATATAAACCATTCATCAGCAGGAATCAATGCAGCCCAGGAACCAGCTGCAATGTGGACTGTTCCAGGACAGAACTGGCACCTCCTGTCTGACCCTTCAGCTTCGGGGCGAGCCATGTTTGCACA